CTATAAATCGCACAATAATGCCAAACCTAGATCTTAAACAGAGATCTTGTGACGAGATAAAGAAATTTGATAACCGAGATCGGCGTTTGAAAAAAAATGATTACTCTCATTCTTATTCTCGAAAAAATTTTTTTTTATTTTTATTTTATTTTATTTTTATGAAACTGTAATAACAAGACCTCTCACAATATATATGAATTATATATTTCAAATTACGTAACATTACATGTTTATTATTTGTATTTTGTTTGTTGGTTCCATTATTTTTATCGGTGTAATTTACAAATTTTCCGCGATATTAATATACAATAAAAAAAAACTAAATCACACTTTGTTAAAAAAGTTAAGAATGATAAATGAAACATGCTAATAATTGATATATAATTAAAATTTGTGTTTATTTTATATTTGCTTGTGCTCGGAAGGATTGCTTAAATATATTTTATTAAATAAATTTTTTGTTTTAATTGTCAAAAAAAAGAAATTTGTGTAAGTTTTGACATCATTTTGCAGTTTACATTTAGAAATATTTTTTATTAGAAATCAAGTTTGACAAATGTCAAGAATTAATAATTGCGCAAGTGATTTTATTAGGGAAAACATAAGAATTACATTGATTTGATGGCAGAATAACAGATATCAATTCATCTTTCTTTTTTTAATTTTTTTTACCGCGAATACTTCACTATTAAACATCCATTCTACACAATTTCCACATGTACATAAATAAATTCAAAACTAGTATTATTTTAAAATCTTGAAATAATCATATTATAAATAATCATTAAAATGTGATATAATGTCATTTAAAATTAAAATATCATAGATATGCGCTAAAAAATAAGAATTGATAATGATTTCAATGTTTACGCAATATAAATTAAGAAAAAATTCAAATCATTTGAGCAATAAAAAAACCAGTTAAGCAATCATTTGCAAAAGTGTAAAAATAAATCAACTGACTAATAAAGAAAATTGACATCGGCACAAATATATAAATAAATTAGTTTATAAGCTCACGATTCCAAAAATTATATGTGATTTTATTTTTAATTGCCTGTAATTATCAAATGTTTGTTTATTATATGTTTATTTATGTGAACGCACGTCGTACAGTCGCTTTATAAAAAAATGCAACTTTATCTTAATAAAGTATATTTAAAAAAAAAATGACGTATACGAAATATGCATATTAATGTTATCGCCAAACTCTGCACTCTTCGTGATTGCCTATGAATTTAAGTGAAAGTAGACGTAGATTGCATTTCTATTGGGATTCCGTTTTAATAATAATGTAACAAGTTAATAAAGACCCTCTCTCGTGTCAGAGACAACATCAATAATTACAGAAACTGACAAGGAAATTTCACTTCCTCGCATAGAACGTACACGACGATATATGTTTCCTCTTAAATTATGATTGATTATTGCGTTTATAAAAACTATAAAAACTCTCTATAAAAAATATATAAAAACTCTATAAAAACTCTCTCCTTGCCGTTGGGGCAAGGGAAAAGGAAGAAAAAATTCACATGCTAGACAATAAATAAGAATAAATAAACGTTTAAAAAAAAAATGAGAGTGTCTTCATATAAAACCAAATACATTTTCACATTAATAAAAGGTGCATCGTGCACTTGAAAATAAATTTCATCTTTCGTGACTCAAAAATCATCATTGCAAGTGACGTGATTCACGCTGAAGTACCGGGCTAAAATCGCGCAACCATATGACTATCGGACGCGCTTTCAACAATAATATATTGTATAATATATAAAAAAAAAGTTAAAAAAAGTTTTTATACTTTGTCTTTTCTTGTTTCGCAGTTCCGACGGTCCGTACAAGATATCATACAGCCGCACCATGATGACCACTTTCTGCTTCGCTGGTTGAGAGGTATGGCCCGGTCTCCTGCTACTTCTTGATAACGAATTAATACCATCCGAGGAAACATGCTCGTTTATTCGGATAAATATTATTTGTCGTTATGTGTACACAGCGTAGTCACGCTAGTAGTCGTGAGAGATATTCGACGTTACTCGAACTGTTTATTGTCTCTTGCCTGCTTCTGATTGTAACGCGTTTCAAAACCGGTATATAGCGAAATTTATTAAACTGTTTTGAAACAGAGCTACGAAAAAACATGGAAGAGATTATCGGTTATTAACTATTTCCCAGGATTTTTAGTCACGCGAGATGCCGTAAGACTTGTGTGACTGCCAGTGAACAATGAACATTCGCATAATACATTTTTTTTTAACAATGTTAATAATGCGTGCATAATTATTTATCTATTTAAATGGAATAATAAAGCGGCATATCTGTTGTGTCGCATTAGCATTATACTTTTTATTATATTATTATTATTTTATTATATTTTTTATGTTACATAAATTTTATTGTATTTGCAAATCATTCTAGGAAATGCGTCGATACTATTATTAGCCTTGTTTAAAACTGTTGTTGACGTTTTTAAAAATTATACTAAATTACACTAATACTATAGATATAGTGGACAATATTTTTCTTCAAAATTTCAATTTTCATATAAATATATCATAAAATATTACGTTATGTGTTTAAATAAATTCGTATTTTACTTTTTCTTTTAGCAAGAAAATGGGATCCTATCGCAGCGGAAAAAATGCTGAGAGACGTAAGTAATTATGCCTGAAACGTGAGCGATTTAAGATATTGCATATCTTATTATATTCCAACGTTCTCTCTTTGTTTATAAATAAAACGCGTGTGTACACACACACACACACACACACACACACACACACACACACACACACACACACACATATATATATATATATATATATACTA